CTATTTATATGGCAGTTGTCACAATGCAAGACAAAATGATCTTTTGAATAAACTAAAAAGCTGAAACCTTCTAATTTTATGTAACGACAATAAAAATCATATAATCCATATCATTTTATTATTCAGTATTTACATTAGTCGGACTATTGTCCTCATCTTTGTCGCCATATTTGTCACAACGTTTCGGCCGTTGTACGCTCCGGCCTTCTTCAGGTAGTTGGAATTTTGAACTGAACCCTTTATTTCGGGTATAGACTGGGGTAGACTGTTCTAGTTCCACGTGCCATGTTTGATGGATGTCAGTTATCAGTTATCTCCTGCTAATTTTCCCTCTAAAAGTTCTCCACTGCCTTAACCGGGTATTGAACTCACATTCTTTGGGTGTGTCACTGGATCTAACCAACGCCTTTATCTACTGTGCCATGTGTCCTTGAGGCACCTGAAGAAGGTCGGGGCGTACAACGGCCGAAACGTTGTGACAAATATGGCGACAAAGATGAGGACAATAGTCCGACTAATGTAAATACTGTACATAATACCTCATCTCAGAAATATAGACAGAATAATTTTATTATTATTTCTCTTGACATCTTCTCTTTCTATTTATCCCCGTTTGTTCATATGTGTTTCCTTTTCTTCGTCTTTCTTTTGTGTCTGTTTATCTCTCATTTCACTTCTGCCAAAATTTATTTATCATTGCCTGACCAATTTAAAACCACATGATAGTTTCTGTTCGTATTGACCAATCAATACTATACTACTTCTTCATTCCATGGGGAAGATAGGGCCGCAACAACACCTCACCAACGGACACGGTTCCGGGCGATCCCCTTCCGCTTGTCCCATGTCGTACCGGCTGCCTTCACCTCTGCCTTCACCTCTGCCTCTGACCACACTTTTGCGCCAAATCTGTTTTGGTCGACCCAATTTTCGATTCTCTTGTGGATTTCAGTCAAGGGCCTGCCTCACACTCGATGCAGGCTTACGGTGTGTATGGCCGATCCATCTCCATTTTCGTTTCTTGATGTCAATCTCGATTGGGTCTTGTCTGGTTCTGTTCCACAGTTGGTCGTTGGAGACAACTTCCGGCCACCTGTTATTGAGGATGTTCCTAAGACATCGGTTGGTAAATGTCTAAAGTTTGTGGCATTTTGGTCTTGGTTATACGCCAGGTTTCTAGGCCGCAAGTTAGGACCGACTTGACGTTGGTGTTGAAGTTCCGGATATTGTTATAAAGTGAGAGGGTCGTTGATCTCCAAATTGGCCGGAGAGTGTTGAAAGCGTGTCTGGATTTCTTGACCCAGTGCGACTACAGCAAGAAGACATCAAGGAAAACGATAAGTTTGGTAAGCGTTGTGAGTAAAGATGAGGCGCGTGGGACAGATGAAGACATCAAGTGCCGAATCAACAAAAAGGCCATGGACTTTGAGATATATTTATAACCAGAACCACTTCCTCTGAGTTTTTGGAATATGTGTAGATAGATTTCAGCATTTGTTGACTTGAGCCATCCACGGTTTTGATATCATCAGTTCTTAAGCGTGAAAAGAATTGACCGCCAACTGTAAAAGCCTGGATTTTGTTTAGGGAAGAATTACAATTCAGAAGAGAAGTATTGCTAGAATATTCTCTTAGTTCACTCCTTTTATAATGTTTAAAGAACATGAAATATCGATGTCAACCATGATACATGGCTTAGAGTTATGAGATATAGATTTAAGAAGGTTTATATAATTTCTATTTATGGATGGTTTCTCGAAGGAATTTTACAAGATAGGTAACTTGATACTGTCAAAATCATTTAAAAAATCAATGGAAATAATATAAGCGGGTTTTTTAAATTCAAGGAGTTTTCAATAATTTCCTCTAAAGCTGTCATTCTGGGTACGACGATAAACTACAACAGGCAGCAAGGCCTCTGTTCAGGAGAACTACATCTTAACTGTTGTGCCAAGGTCCACTCTGACCTGGAAAGGTAGCAACTGTTAGGTTCTCAACTATGGGCAAATAGTGAACGCAAAACATAATCAACATTATATTTTTTATTATAAAATGAAAAAAAAAACAATAGATTTGTATAAAAAAGGACAATCAATTCTAAAAATATAAAAATATATTTTTATGATAAAATGACCAACAATACATTCAATGATCTACGAAATATATAAATATATATATATAAAAGAGCATAACTTTACCCAGAAAGTATAAAATTTTCTACAAAATATCTTTACTTGAAAGCATAAAATTATGTAGAAAATATATAGATTTCGGCATTAAATGACCTAATGAAATTCATCTGCCGCTAAACGAAATCAACCAAGCAACCAAGCAACTCTAAGGCAGGGGTCAGCATCCTTTTAGAGTGAGAGGGCCAGAAAGCTATGCAATATTTTGGAGGAGAGCCATGATATCAAATTTACTATAATAAATTGCCTTGACCTCTGACCGCTACGTCCAGAAGACTGCTTTGTTCTGGAGGTTTAAAGATAAAAACAGTGAAGTTAATGCTATATTATTTAAATTTTCTTATTTTACTGCAGATGTAACAGGATAACATCTAACACAATCAACAAAAAATCAAAATTCATTACTACAATATCAATACAGTTAAAATAGCAAATTATTTAATGAGACACTTGTTCCTGCTTATAGTTCGATAAATTCTCCACATCAGATGAAATATTTGTCAGCAACAGGAGCAAAACATCCTCAAGTTGGTCATCACCCAACCTTGTTCGAAAAATTTTCTCATTTTTCATTTTCGAAAAAGTTGTTCACAAGAATATGAACTTCCAAATAATAATACCATTCAATAGGCTTTTATGTTTTCCGCTTGGCAAAATATATTTCTTTAGAAGTCAGCAATGGATTCGCAATTACATTTTGATTTTAAAAGTTTGTCGCATTGTATTATGCTGATTAACTCCAACTGATAGTAATTAAATAATTTGTTTCCAGGTGTTAAATTTGGCGGGCCGGACAAAAATCAGTCCCGGGCCGGATTGTTACTCTTTTCGTATGCGGCCTTTAATTCTGGATGTCAAGCATATTGTGTGTGTGTGTGTTTTTTTTTTTTTTTGCAACGATTTGTGATGTGACTTAGAAAACCGATTGTTCTGTAGTTTTTACATTCCAAATCAGTATCTTTCTTGTATAGTTCTACGACTAGGACTTCTTGAAAGCTTCACATACCACGACAGTAAAATAAATTTGAGCATTAGATGTAGAATATCTAATGAAGGTTTGTCTATCTCAAGTTTCTTGGCAATCTGAGTCGATATTGTCAAGCACTTTATTTATATAATATGTGTATTTGTATAGGTATAAATATGTTTTTTTCTTTTATTTTGTTTAGGATGTCATATGATACAATCATTATAAGATTAGGTGAGCAATCCTGAACATATTTTTATCGCTTAGGGCAATGTGAGAATGAAAGTTAAAAAAACAAACAAAAAAAAACAACAAACAAAAAAACACAGTAAGTAGGCAATAAAAAACATGTCCCTGGAAAAGGCTGGAAAGACGATCGGTCGAAACGTAAAGACAGAAACAATGAAATTGAGGATAATAACCCCAAGTTTTCGTTGAATACCTGTTCGGAAAAAAACCTAGTTGTGCAAAGCCATCTGCTGATATCGAATAATTCATAGACTTTGTAAGTTTAAGCCAAATTGATTTTCCATTAATCCGCCTGATGTTTTAATTTAATTGCGCAAAGCAGGTGAGGTCAGCCATAGCGATATGCGTCATCCCTTTGAAAATTAAATCAATTTACCTATTTATCATACTGAAGGCAGCGAGAATATTTATTCTTTAAGAAACCAAACGAAAAGCAAAAAATTAAAATATAATTCCTAATTAAGATTAATGGCACTTTGCTGATTTAATTCAATTTTAATTCATTTCATTTAATGATAAAATAATGATATATATAATATATATATATATATATATATGTGTGTGTGTGTGTGTGTGTGTGTGTGTGTATGGCTGTGTGTATGTGTAAATATACACGTAAAATCTAATAGAGAATAATACGTTCTGTCTTTCGCCTTCTCTCTCAGCATGTGTCTCAAGAAAGTAATTAGAAAATCAATAAAAATACCATTTATAATTTTCATAAAATGCATATTCAAAACAAGAAGAAAAGGAAAATATTTCATCAGAGTTTTAATTTCTTTTGCTCAATGAATATTATTTACCATTTTCAAGATCGTTCTTAATATTCTTGTAAATTGTTTTCCCTATATTCGCTGTGCATCAAAAGGTCTTATAACTTATTTTAGTAAAACTTTGAGGAACCATTTATTTTACACCATGTTTTATAATTAATAGATGCGCCATATTCATTATTTTAATAAAATATATTCTCCTCTCAATTTTGTTGTTTTTATCACTACTGCCTGGTTGTTTTCAGTAAACCAGCCTGCACAGAAAATAAAGAAATTACCTCTAACAATATTTGAAAGTCCATTGTTAGGTGATGGTTTATAATAATTTTTCAAGAATTTGGACACATATAGACAGAGTAAATTCACATTTAGTCTCATCCTATTTTCACCGTCATGTTTACAAACAATACCAGTGGATATTATAGTTCTATATTATTGTACTATATTTATAGTACTAACTTTATAGTACTATAGTACTATATTTCAAAGTGAGATATGTTATTCCATTTTAAAAAATGAAAATGTCTGTTGTTGTCAGGAATATTCCAATCATTAAACAACAAAAATCAAATCAAATAATATTTTTAATATATTCAACAAATACAGATCTTAAGAAATCATAAATACAATTTTGAAGAAATTTATAAAATTATAGCTTCTTCAGCAAATACAGCTTTTTTAGAAATGTTAATTTTTCTCTGTCTCTTATCATTAAAATAAGAAAATTATTTGAAAATAAAATATATACAAAAGAACAATTATTTTTAGGTTAAAAAGAGGAAAAAAATTGCCAGGTGAAGACAGCAATGTATTATCATAAAATTATATCGATCTATTAAAGTAAGGTTCAACTGTAACGACGCAAGGTGTTTGGACAATCGTTGGTAGCGGGGTTCTGAGGTCTGTGAAACTGTTGGAAAAGAAAAATAGGGTGAAAAGGCGTATAAGTTCGGCGTTATATTGGGGGTAAGTGAGTATCAATGGTGTAGTCCCAGAGAAGAACATGTAAAAAGAAAAGAAAGATAACTGTTTCCAAGCGGTCGATGAGGGTGAAGGAAAGAGTGGAGAAGAAGAAGAAGAAGAAGAAGAAGAAGAAGAAGAAGAAGAAGAAGAAGAAGAAGAACAAGAACAAGAACAAGAACAAGAAGAACAAGAACAAGAAGGAGGAGGAGGAGAAGGAGGAGGCGGAGGGGGAGAAGGAGGATAAGACGACGACGAAGAAACAACAACAACAAAAATACTGGAAAGAAAAAAACGGGACAAAGAAGGAAATGACGTAAGAGAAGCAACCCCGCAAAAAACGTAAATAATGAACAAAAATTGAAAAAAGGTAAACAAAAATAAAGACGAGAGAAAACTGGTGAGAGAAATATAACAATGATATTGAAAATATATTTCTTTTTTTATATGATTGCAATAAATGTCATATTAACCTTTTTATGGATTTCTTTTAGCTGTGTGGCTAATTTAACGGTTATCAGCGCTGAAATTAGAATTCGTGAGCGACGTTCAATTTCCAGTTTATTTCGCTGCGTTCAATTTTGAAATATTGCTATTGGTTAAAAAAAGCAGGGTTGACTGGGCTTTCAAGCCTTGAATGTCAGTCAGTCTGAAAGAAGGAAGAATTTCAAATCAAAGCCTCAACCAGGCAGTTCCACATTGCACTAACTGCGTTGTGACAGAAGTTCTCCCTGATGCTCGTCATTATTCGCCGATTGAAAGGGTTTATCTAAATCATTCCACAAAAATGTATGTAGGTTCACAAAATTGAAATCTTTGTATTTGTGGGAGACAAATTAACTTATTTCTACCTTTGTTTCTTTATTCTACATTACTTTCTCTCTCTCTCTCTCCTCTCTCTCTCTCTCTCTCTCTCTCCATGCGCTTGTGCTAGCGAAAAATTTGGTTCGGTTTATTGAGTAAAAAGAAAAGTGTTCTTTTTTCGTGACTTTAACTGTAACAGATTCGCCATTTGTCATTACATTCAGTCTCTGGCTTAGAGGCGGCATCACAATTCAAACTTCCAAAATACTTTATCTTTCTCAGTAGAGCACTGTCCTTTGTGATTTTTTTCAGTCTTTCAGAACATTGAATGTTTTTCTTCAAGAGAATTCAGTAAAAACAAAATATGCAATTATCTGGTGAACACAAATGAAAAATGAAAACAACTCATCGAAGCTGCAACAATATTATGTTATCTAATTACGAACACTTTCTGTCAAGTTTTGAATTTTTGTAAACACTTCCTAATCGAAAACTACGCCATGTAATTATGTATGCTCATCTACACACTATTTTTCTTACACATTACCACGATATTTCAAAAGGTTACTTAATACTGGTTGTGGGAGGGTAACATGGATAATGTCTACATCTGCACACATCTGCAAACCTCAACCTTTAAAAAACTAAAACAGTTGTGAGCAGACAGGAAAACCCTGACGCATCTGGTAAGAGAGCCTCTCCCATTCAGAGGGTCACACTTTAAGCGGCTCTGATTGTCCCCACCCACAAACACAGAACCTACATTACATTCTGCTCTGCAACATCCACAGAATTCTTCAGCGTGTAAGTCAGTATAAACATTCTTCACCAACCAAAATTATCAACTCACTTCCGCTTCCATCCTCATGAAAAATCTGGAATTATTTTTTGTTTACTAAAGTTTATACATTACAAGACCCAAGTGCCATTCAGGTAGAGTTTACCGAATGCGATGTGTGGAATGAAAGTAAGAAGATATAGTAAGAAATGAAGATTATGAGGATAGGGGCGATAGTTAATGATTGATCTTCGATATGAAGTGATTAAGATTGTAGTGTTCAAGTAACTATATTTTTATTTTGTTTTATTTTGTTTTAATTTGTACTCTTTTTACTCAATAGGTGTTGATAGGTTCAGATATCTTCCTCCAGTTATGCGTTAAATAGTAAACCAGAATTCGCTCTTCTCGTTTCATTGGTAACCAGTCTAGGAAAAGGACAAATCAGAATTCAAAAACTGCATGTAGCTCTGGTGATGCAAATACTATATGCAACTAATGAAAGGATTGCAGATTTCATAATGAATAAGACCCTGCCTGTATGTAGTTCTGGTGAAGCAAATACTATATACGACCAATGAAAAGTTTGTAGATTTCATACTGAATACGACCCTGCCTGCGATCGGTCTAATAATAATTAATCAATAATTGATTGATCCAAAAATGGTTAGTAATGTGTAAAAGAACATACAAATGAATCAGTCTAAATAAATTACACAATTTCTTACACATTTACCGTATTAATAAAGTGAAAACATTAGGTTTTTTTTAATTCTATCTTCAATGTTATAACTAGCAAACAAAATACACCATTTGGACCATTTAAAGAAATGCCTGTTTATATGACAGTTGTCACAATGCAAGACAAAATGATCTTTTGTATGAACTTAAAAACTGAACCCTTCTAAATTTATGTAACGACACAAAACATATAATCCATATAATTTTATTATTACTTCTCTTGCCGTCTTCTCTTTCTGTTTATCCCCGTTAGTTCATATTTGTCTTCTTTTCTTAGTTTTTCTTTTTTGTCTGTTTATCTCTCTTTTCTCTTCTCCCAAAATTTATTTATCATTTCGTGACCAACTTAAAAACACATCATAGTTTTTCTTCGTATTGACCAATCAATATTAATAATTAAACTTTAAAAAATTGCGTGTTGAAAAGACATTAATTCTTTTTTGCCTTTCACTTAAAAAATCGTTGACTTGACCCTGTCTTCTTTTTGGCTTCACAGTTAACGTAAATAAATGGCTTTCAAATTGGTCTCGACCTAATTTTTATCCACCAACGAAAATAATAAAATAATAGTGCAGTAAAGTTGCAGTAATAGTACACCAACTTCAGGCGAAATACTCAAGGGAAAAATTAAATATTCGAAAGGAAACAAAAAGAAAATGTAAAGAATGATTTTTTTTTCATTGTAAAGCGTTTTATTTACAAAGACATTTAGGTAACTTTATTTTTCCCATATGAGACTGAAAGAAGTGATGAAAGGTTTCAAATGTTAAGTAGCAGCCAATAGACGACTCATCAAACGTTCAATTAGAACAAGCAAAATAAAGAAAATAATTAAAGAAAAAAGCTCAATCAGTTTTAATAAAAGAGACAATTATATCAAGAAAAACAAAGAAAGAAATCTTAAGAAGACGAATAAGAAGACAGACGATATTTGACTCAAGGTTTCATGTTCTACCATTTTTGTGACTATAGATGGGTCTGTGTGTGAAAATCTTCATAATCAACATTTAACAGAGAATTTTAATATACAATTTCTGATGCCGATTCTTCGAAAATATGTTAATTCTTTTAACTTAATTCTCGTCTTTGAATATTTTACGTCTTTGCAATAAATGTGTAGACAATCATTGTATTTAAAATACTTAACTACTACTTTATTAATAAAAATAATCAAAATCTGCAGGTAAATAAATACTAGTGAGTTATTGGTGTCTTACTAAAATAAATGTATTACGTAATCTTACTTTTAATTTACTTAAGTGACAAGGTTTGGATATCAAACGTCATTCTGTGTGAATTACGTTCGTTGCTCTGCATGTCATGTTATCCTCATTGGGTACTCTACAAGCAAAAACGTGTTTCAATCAAAATTCACTGAATGTTATTGCGGGAATCGATTAATTATATATTTTATTATTGATCAATTATTGTAATCATAATCACTGTCATCGTCAGTGCTATGACCGGATATGGTTGTAGGATCACTGCGCATTGGAGCACATAATCGTTTGTTTTTAATTTTCAGAGACGTCTGAGTAAAACTTTCCGATTAGCGATTAAGATTTCAAATTTTAACGAGATGTGATTTTTGTGTTCACGTGTTTTGCTTATTATATTTCTAGATCTTACTTATTATAAAACGCAGATTGTGTGTGTGTGTGTGTGTGTGTGTGTAACGTTTATATATTGGATCGGATTTCCTACATTTTTCAACCGATTTCAACAAAACTTCACAGGACTACATAAAATTACCTTGCGGTGGTTCTAACAGCGCCAAAAATGGGAAAAATACAATTGTTTTTGCACAAAATCAATTTGAAAACACGATTAAGACATCGTGAGAATGTAAGGGGGGACAACTCACATCGGGTTAAAAACCCAGGTTGTTTGTATGTGTGTATTCCTTTATATATGGGATCGGATTTCCTACATTTTTCAGCCGATAAAACAAAAATTCACTTTTTTTTTTGGCAGGTAGTGTTTCTTATTCTCTTGCACACTTTTTTCTTTATTTTTAATATTCAGAATGCTTTAAAAATTCCATTTGCAAGACAATTGATTATAATAAAATTCTATTCAATCGATAGACTCATAACGATTGAAAACAATGTTTTTGTTTGAGTTTGGGTGTGACCAATTCGTAAAAAAAACAAAAAAACTAATTAACACATGCGTGTCCGTCAACCTTAAACAATAATCTAACGATCTCTACTGATTGTACGAATCCAAACATCGGATAATTCTTTATCTTTAGGGAAAGATAATGAAATCTAAACATACACAAGTCCTCCTAACTAAAAATAATAACCTGAAACTACTTTAGTTTAAATACACATGGTGTCCAATTTTTTTTTTACTGTATTCAATAAGTAAAAATCATAAATTGTAAAAGATTATTATTACAGAAAGGCTACTAAATGAATAAGATTTGTTAGATCATAATTAATAAACCCAAATAAAGTTAATATTTTTTGTATTAGAAACAACATGTGGAAAATATATTCAAATCAGAATTCTAATTATGAATCACCACAAGCAAAATATGCAGTTTTTTTACTGTATTCAATAAGTAAAAATCATAAATTGTAAAACTAAAAGATTACAGAAAGGCTACCTACATTTTTCAACCGATTTCAAAAAAACTTCACTTTTTTTTTTTGGCTTGTAGTGTTTCTTATTGTCTTGCACACTTTTTTTTTATTTTTGCATTCAGAATGCTTTAAAAATTCCATTTACAAGACAATTGTTTATAATAAAATTCTATTCAATCTGTAGAGACTGAAAACAATGTTTTCGTTTGAGTTTGGGTTTGACCAATTCGTAAAAAAAAAAAAAAAAAAAAAAAAACTAATTAAGACATGCGTGTCCATCAACCTTAAACAATAATCTTTGTCAATTTTATTTTTCAGTCATTATGATGGTGGATACTTGATCTATCTCTTACTGTTATATACCCGGGCAACGCCGGGCAACACCGGGCAACGCCGGGCTCTACTGCTAGTATTTTATATTTATTATTTCTAGATATTTTATATATATTATTTCTAGATATTTCTAGATATTTATATTTATTACTTTTAGATATTTCTAGATATTTTACATTTATTATTTCTAGATATTTTACATTAATTATTTCTAGATATTTCTAGATATTTACATTTATTATTCTAGCAGAAAATCGGAAAGTAGTTTGAGAAAATGTTTGCACTTTGATGAAGACAGTAAAACCAATGATTGTTCACAAGCTACTGACGAGATATTTCGTAATGTCCAGATCTCAAATGGTCAATTTAGTAAGGCCCAATAAGTTATAAAAATCTATAAAACAAGAATGCGTTAGATAGATAGATAGATAGATAGATAGATAGATAGATAGATGAAAGATGAAAGTTGATCTATACAATATACCAAAAATCATGATATACCACTATATAAATATACGCCACGTTACGCGTCACCGTTCCTGGATGAGATGAAAATTCACCCATCAATAATAACAATATTTTCAAAGGCAAACGAGCCTCATAGAGAGAGTTAATCATATTGACCAACCCTGATATTGACCGAGACTCATAGAGAGAGTTAATCATATTGACCAACCCTCATAGCAACCGAGCCTCATAGAGACAGTTAATCATATTGACCAACCCTGATATTGACCGAGCCTCATAGAGACAGAATATCATATTGACTAACCCTCATAGCAACCGAGCCTCATAGAGACAGTTAATCATATTGACCAACCCTCATATCGACCGAGCCTCCTAGAGACAGAATATCATATTGACCAACTCTCATATTGACCGAGCCTCATAAAGACAGTATATCGTATTGACCAACCCTCATATTGACCGAGCATGATAGAGAAAGAATAGCATATTGACCGAGCCTCCGAGAGACAGTGAATCATATTGAACAACGCTCATATTGACCGAGACTCATAGAGACGGAATATAATAATTACCAACCCTTATAGTGACCGAGACTCATAGAGGCAGAATATCATATCGACCAACCCTCATATTGACCGAGCCTCATAGACAGAATATCATATTGACCAACCCTCATATTGACCGAGCATCCTAGAGACAGTTAATCATATTGACCAACCTTCATATTGACCGAGCCTCATAGAGACAGAATATCCTATTGGCCAAACATTCCAGAGCAGAAGACTGATAGAGGCAGAATACCATATTGACCAAACCTCATAATGACCGAGCCTTCTAGAGACAGAATATCATTTTGACCAACCCTCATATTGACCGAGCCTCCTACAGACAGTTAATCATATTGACCAACCCTCATATGGACCGAGCCTCATAGAGACAGAATATCATATTGGCCAACCCTTAAAGTGACCGAGACTCATAGAGACAGAATATCATATTTACCAATCCTCATATTGAACGAGCCACATAGAGACAGTTATTCATATTGACCAACCCTCATATTGACCGAGCCTCATAGACACAGAATATCATATTGACCAACCCTCATATTGACCGAACCTGAGAGAGACAGTTAATCATATTCATCAACCCTCATATTGACCGAGACTCATAGAGACAGAATATAATATTGACCAACCCTTAGAGTGACCGAGACTCATAAAGGCAGAATATCATATTGACCAGCCCTCATGTTGACCGAGCCTGATAGAGAGAGTATATCATATTGACCAAACCTCATATTGACCGAGCCTCCTAGAGACAGAATATCATATTGACCCGCATATTCACAGAGCCTCCTACAGACAGTTTATCGTATTGAGCAACCTTCACATAGACTGAGCCTCAAAGAGACAGAATATCATATTGACCAACCCTCCGTATTGACCGAGCATCATAGAGACAGTATATCGTATTAACCAACCCTAATATTGACCGAGCCTCATAGAGACAGAATATCATACTGACCAAACCTCATATTGACCGAGCCTCATAGAGACAGAATATAATATTGACCAACCCTGATACTGAGCGTGACTCAAAAAGGCAGAATATCATATTGACCAACCCTCATATTGACGAGCCTAATAAAGACAGAATATCGTATTGACCAATCCTCATATTTACCTAGCCTCCTAGACATATAATATCATATTGACCAACCCTCATCTTGACCGAGCCCGATAGAGACATAATATCATATTGGACAACCCTCATATTGACCGAACCTCCTAGAGACAGTTAAACATATTGACCAACCTTCATATTGACCGAGCCTCATAGAGACAGAATATCATTTTGAACAACCCTTACAGTGAACGAGACTCATAGAGACAGTTAATCATATTGAACAACCCTTACAGTGAACGAGACTCATAGAGACATAATATCATATTGACCAACCCTCATATTGACCGAACCTGTTAGAGACAGAATATCATATTGACCAACCTTCATATTGACCGAACTTGAGAGAGATAGAATATCATATTGGCCAACCCTTATAGTGACCGAGCCACATAGAGACAGTTAATCTTATTGACCAACCCTCATATTGACCGAACCTTTTAGAGACATAATATCATATTGACAACCCCTCATATTGACCGAGCCTCATAGAGACAGTATATCATATTGACCAACCCTTATATTGACCGAACCTGATAGACACAGATTATCATATTGAACAACTCTCATATTGACTGAGCCTCATAGAGACAGAATATCATACTAACCTCATAGAACCGAGCCCTCAATCATATTGACCAACCCTATATCGAAGCCTCATAGAGACTGAAAATCATATTGAACAACCCTCATATTAACCGAGCCTCCTAGAGACAGAATATCATATTGACTAACTCTCATATTGACCGAGACCTCCAACCCTCATATTGACCGAGCATGATACAGAATATCATATTGACCAGACTCCTCATAACCCTTATAGTGACCGCTCATCAGAATATCATATCGACCAACCCTCATATTGACAGATAGACAGAATATCATATTGACCAACCCTCATATTGACCGAGCATCCTAGAGACAGTTAATCATATTGACCAACCTTCATATTGACCGAGCCTCATAGAGACAGAATATCCTATTGGCCAAACCTTCCAGAGCAGAAGACTGATAGAGGCAGAATACCATATTGACCAAACCTCATAATGACCGAGCCTTCTAGAGACAGAATATCATTTTGACCAACCCTCATATTGACCGAGCCTCCTACAGACAGTTAATCATATTGACCAACCCTCATATGGACCGAGCCTCATAGAGACAGAATATCATATTGGCCAACCCTTAATGTGACCGAGACTCATAGAGACAGAATATCATATTTACCAATCCTCATATTGAACGAGCCACATAGAGACAGTTATTCATATTGACCAACCCTCATATTGACCGAGCCTCATAGACACAGAATATCATATTGACCAACCCTCATATTGACCGAACCTGAGAGAGACAGTTAATCATATTCATCAACCCTCATATTGACCGAGACTCATAGAGACAGAATATAATATTGACCAACCCTTAGAGTGACCGAGACTCATAAAGGCAGAGTATCATATTGACCAGCCCTCATGTTGACCGAGCCTGATAGAGAGAGTATATCATATTGACCAAACCTCATATTGACCGAGCCTCCTAGATACAGAATATCATATTGATCCGCATATTCACAGAGCCTCCTACAGACAGTTTATCGTATTGAGCAACCTTCACATAGACTGAGCCTCAAAGAGACAGAATATCATATTGACCAACCCTCCGTATTGACCGAGCATCATAGAGACAGTATATCGTATTAACCAACCCTAATATTGACCGAGCCTCATAGAGACAGAATATCATACTGACCAAACCTCATATTGACCGAGCCTCATAGAGACAGAATATAATATTGACCAACCCTGATACTGAGCGTGACTCAAAAAGGCAGAATATCATATTGACCAACCCTCATATTGACGAGCCTAATAAAGACAGAATATCGTATTGACCAATCCTCATATTTACCTAGCCTCCTAGACATATAATATCATATTGACCAACCCTCATCTTGACCGAGCCCGATAGAGACATAATATCATATTGGACAACCCTCATATTGACCGAGCCTCCTAGAGACAGTTAAACATATTGACCAACCTTCATATTGACCGAGCCTCATAGCGACAGAATATCATTTTGAACAACCCTTACAGTGAACGAGACTCATAGAGACAGTTAATCATATTGAACAACCCTTACAGTGAACGAGACTCATAGAGACATAATATCATATTGACCAACCCTCATATTGACCGAACCTGTTAGAGACAGAATATCATATTGACCAACCTTCATATTGACCGAACTTGGGAGAGATAGAATATCATATTACAACCCTTATAGTGACCGAGCCACATTGAGACAGTTAATCTTATTGACCAACCCTCATATTGACCGAACCTTTTAGAGACATAATATCATATTGACAACCCCTCATATTGACCGAGGCTCATAGAGACAGTATATCATATTGACCAACCCTTATATTGACCGAACCTGATAGACACAGATTATCATATTGAACAACTCTCATATTGACCGAGCCTCAGATAGACAGAATATCATATTGACCAACCCTCATACTGTCCGAGCCTCCTAGTTACAGAATATTATAATAGTCAACCCTCATATTGACCGAGCCTCTAGAGACATAATATCATACTGACCATCCCTCATATTGACCGAACCTCATAGAGACAGTATGTCGTATTGACCAACACTCATATTGACCGAGCCTCATAGAGACAGTATATCGTATTGACCAATCCCCATATTGAACGAACCTGATAGAAACAGTTAATCATATTTACCAACCCTCACATTGACCGAGCCTCATAGAGACAGAATATAATTTTGACCAACCCTCATATTGACCGAGCCTGCGAGAGACAGAATATCATATTGACTAACCCTCATATTTAACGAGTCTCATAGAGACAGAATATCGTATTGACCAACCCCATATTGACCGAACCTGTTAGACAGAATTTCATATTGGCCAACCCTCATAGAGACAGAATATCGTATTACCGACACCCATGTTGACCGAACCTGTTAGAGACAGAATATCATATTGACCAACCCTCATATTGACCGAACCTGATAGAGACAGTTAATCATATTTACCAAGCATCATATTGACCGAGCCTCATAGAGACAGAATATCATTTTAACCAACCTTATTATTGACCTAGCCCCATAGAGACAGTATATCGGATTGACCAACCCCCATATTAACCGAACCTGATAGAGAGAGAATATCATATTGACCAACCCTCATATTGACCGAGCCTCATAGAGACAGTATATCGTAATGACCAACATCTGTATTGACAGAGCATGATAGAGAAAGAATATCATATTGACCAAACCTCATATTGACCAACCCTCATATTGACCGAGCCTCATAAAGACAGAATATCATATTGATCAACCATCATATTTACCAAGCCTCCTAGAGACAGTTAATCATATTGACCAACCCTCATATTGACCAACCCTCATATTGACCGAGCCTCATTGAGACAGTATATCGTATTGATCAACCCCCATATTGACCGAACCTGATAGAGACAGAATATCATATTGACCAACCCTCATATTGACCGAGCCGCATAGAGACAATATATCGTGTGACCAACCTCCGTATTGACCGAGCCTCATAAAGACAGAATATCATATTGACCAACCCTCATATTTACCAAGCCTCATAGAGATAGTTAATCATATTGACTAACCCTCATATTGATCCAGCTTCCTGGAGACAGAATATCATATTGACCAACTCTCATATTGACCATGACTCAAAATAGATTCGTTTCGAAGTTTTACTTCTCTTTGCTCATGTTTAAACAAATAAATGAATGCAAAATATATTTGTAAAAAT